CCTCACCATCCACTGACTCACCATACCCACATACTGCCTCACCTCACCAGCCACTGCCTCACCTCACCATCCACTGACTCACCATACCCAAATACTGCCTCACCTCACCAGCTACTGCCTCACCTCACCAGCCACTGCCTCACCTCACATCCACTGACTCACCATACCCACATTACTGCCTCACCTCACCAGCTACTGCCTCACCTCACCAGCCACTGCCTCACCTCACCATCCACTGACTCACCATACCCACATACTGCCTCACCTCACCAGCCACTGCCTCACCTCACCAGCCACTGCCTCACCTCACCAGCCACTGACTCACCATACCCACATACTGCCTCAACTCACCAGCCACTGCCTCACCTCACCATCCACTGACTCACCATACCCACATACTGCCTCACCACACCAGCTACTGCCTCACCTCACCAGCCACTGCCTCACCTCACCATCCACTGACTCACCATACCCACATACTGCCTCACCTCACCAGCCACTGCCTCACCTCACCATCCACTGACTCACCATACCCATATACTGCCTCACCTCACCAGCCACTGCCTCACCTCACCATCCACTGACTCACCATACCCACATACTGCCTCACCTCACCAGCCACTGCCTCACCTCAAGCTGAAACAAGCCATATCTGCAACTGTTACAAAACTTGTCTTCTTAACCTTCTCCAATGGTATGGTAGAATGTTAAGGTAACATTCTTGTTGAACATATGGCCTGTTTACGGTTTTGTAACAATAACTTTTAATAAGAATTCAGGATTACGAAACAAATAACTAAAACTTAGAATCTTTACTAGTAGAGTTTTAGCTTAATGTATGATATAATGTTAGGATTAACATAAAATAAGGAGTATAATTCTTACATTTCTCTTGGTACATACCAGTACATAAATAAACCTCTTGAGGTCGAGCTTTATACTAAGTTCACCAATAAATGCACCTATAATGGTTATTAAGAGACTTATCCACAAAGTAACTTACAACGCTTATAAAGACTTATCTGAACTATCAATTCAGAGTATACCAGAACTCGTAAGTGACGGACTTAGTCTCATTCCCATCCAGCATGACTTAGAATAGCATAGACCACAAATTAACCCACAAGGACAACAAGGCTTGTTCAGTCAACTGAAAGATTAATTCGCTAGGGTATAAATAACTCGAAAGTGACAAGCTTAAGAAAGGGAGTCGAGTATGAAAGGAAAACGACCACAAGAGAGAACTTGACATGTCTCTTATGAGAGGTCAATGAATAACTGAGTGAGGTATGCTCCCTTGGCTATGCAAGCCCAGACTAGAAGTGGGAGTGCTAGTCAGAGTGAGTGAAGGACCTACTCTCAGCGAGTGCTGTAAAGCTACTCAGAGCAAGAGTGGTGAATCTACTGACGGTACCACTGAGTGGTAAGCCGACGTCAGGTTGGTCACGTAACTGAGGGAGACTTTAGTACCTGAACTGCTAGCCGGCACTTAAACCAAGTGGTTTCCCACTACATGGAAATAAGAGTATTAAAGCCTAACAAAACATAATATAATACAATATTAGCATTAATATTAGCCTTAACATGCATATTATAAAATAAAGGGGCATATCCTATTATAAAATAAAACGGGTATGGCCATACTCGTAACAGCAACATGTTCAATGACAAAACCTTGTCCCACTTAAGGGAAATCCTAAAGAGATGCCAGAAACAGGCCTCTTTGGACAGTTATTTGTGCGACAGGTATTCAGTGACTCTCAAGCTGGTCTTAGTGGTATTAAAAGACAAAGAAACGAAGTAACCCTAGAGTGGAACTTATCTGGTCATTATGGAGGGGGATTTCCCTTCCAAACAATAAATCCTTCCTCTCTCCTCCTCCCTGTCTTCCTGAAACCAACAAGACTCTTCAATAAAGGTATGTAATACTGATTTAATTGCTAAAAAAATATTTTTTTTAATATTTTTGGGTGTCTAGAACAGATTAATTGATAACAAAAAAGGCACAAAACCGTGACAGGAACAGTACACAAATAACCTGCACATAGAAGAGAGGAGCTTACGAGGACGTTTCGGTCCAACACGGTCCAAGTCGGACCGAAATGTCATCGTAAGCTCCTCTCTTCTTTGTGCGGGTTATTTGTGTGCAGATTAATTGTATTTACATTAATTTTTATGGGAAATATTATTTCACTTTTTGGCCATTCCACTTTTAGGCCGAGCTTCTGGAACTGATTACAACTGATAACCAAGGGTCCACTATTTAGTGTTCCTTTTGATTTCTTCATTCTTTCCATAGCTAAGCAGCTGGAACTTATTGCCATTGAACGTCATGTTGTTCTCCACTGCCCATTCTTTTTGATTATAATAATAATCTCCACTGCCCACTGGAAAACCCTGCTTATGTCTTCCTGTACTTTTTCAGTGTCCTCTTCCATAGAGACTTTCATGCTTATTTTAGTGTCATCTGCAAAAAGATGATACAAAAGTGTGCCGTGTGTTTTTATTTATGTCTGCTATGAGGATGAATAACAGCAGAGGTGCCAGGACAGTGCCTTGGGGCACTGAGGTTTTGGCCTCGCTGATGCTGGATCTTGCCCTGTTCGCTCCTACTATTTGTGTTCTGTGTGTTAGGAACCTGAAAATCCATCTGCCTGCCTTCCACGTAATGCCCATTACCCTCATTTTGTGCGTTATCGCTCCATGATCACATTTGTCAAACGACTTTGCAAAATTTGTGTAAATCACATCTGTGTTTTGGTTATCTTCCAGTGCCTCCGTAATTCTGTCATAATGGTTCATCAGCTGTGACAGGCATGATCATCCTGCTCCACAACCATGCTGGTTTGGGTTAAGTTGGTTGTGCTGGTCCATGAAATTTGTAATCTGTTGTCTCATCACTCTTTCTAATATTTTTATGATGTGAGAAGTTAGGGGTACTGGTCTGTAATTTTTAGCTAGTGCTCTACTATCTCCCTTATGCAAAGGAGCTATGTCAGCACTCTTTAAGGCCTCTAGTATTTCATCTAGATCTAAGGTCTTTCTCCAAAGAATCCTGAGTGCTTGTGCTAATGGTACTTCACACTTTTTTATAAATAGAGCATTCCATGAATCTGGTCCAGGTGCTAAGTGAGTAGGCATGTTGTCCATTTCTTGTTCAAAATCTATGGGATTTGTACTATTGTCAGTTAGTTAATCTGTGCGGGCCTTCTTCTGGAGTGAAAAATATTTCTTCATTTTCTACCTTGTTGTCATTTAGTGGGTTGCTGAACACTGACTCATAGTGTTGTTTTAGGATTTCACTCATTTCCTGTTCATTGTCAGTATACGAGTCTCCTTTCAGTAGTGGTCCAGTTCTACAGGTAGTTCTTAGCTTGGATTTTGCATAGGAATAGAAATGTTTTGGGTTTCTTGCAATATCCTGTATGGCCCTTTGTTCCCTTTGTACTTCCTCTGTTAGATATGACATCCTAACTTAGGTAAGGGAGATTTTGAGTGCTTGGGGCTAAGATGTCAAAGAGGCTTATGTGAGTATGTTAGATAGAAGAAAAAGGAGACAAATGGTTTTATGATTTGACTTGCTATTGTAATGTGAGCAAGGTAATATTTATGAAGGGATTCAGGGAAACCAGTTAGCCAAGTTAAATACAGTGGACCCCTGGTTAACGATATTTTTTCACTCCATAAGTATGTTCAGGTGCCAGTACTGACCGAATTTATTCCCATAAGGAATATTGTGAAGTAGATTAGTCCATTTCAGACCCCCAAACATACACGTACAAACGCACTTACATAAATACACTTACATAATTGGTCGCATTCGGAGGTAATCGTTATGCGGGGGTCCACTGTACTGGAGATGGAAAGTACAGTTCCTGTGCTCAGGAGGATTGGAGATGTTGCAGTTCAAAGGATCATCTGAATTGTAATGTCAATATGGTTTTGGAAAGGCAGTAATTGAGTGAATGATTGTGAAAGGGCTTTTTTTTTTTATGGGTCACCCTACCTCTGTGGGAGATGGCCAAAGTTAAATACTGGAGATGGAAAGTACAGTTCCTGTGCTCAGGAGGATTGGAGATGTTGCAGTTCAAAGGATCATCTGAATTGTAATGTCAATATGGTTTTGGAAAGGCAGTAATTGAGTGAATGATGGTGAAAGGGCTTTTTTTTTTTATGGGTCACCCTACCTCTGTGGGAGATGGCCAGTATGTTAACTCTTGCGTACCTTGAAATTACAAATCCCGTCAGTGTCACGACCTTTCAAAATAAAAATAAAATCTTCTAAAATGGTAGAGAATCTTTTTCTAAAGGTAATATCAACAAAACTACAAGATTTAAAATTTAAGAAATTATGAAGGCGAGAATATGGAGGTCGGGGAGCACTTTACACAACTGTTGTTTTGCTTGCTTTGAGGCCTATTTTAGGCCAGTTAAATTACTTAAACTGACCCAATTCCTGGCTATTTTGCTAGTTGTTCGAGCTGTGAATTTTAATTTTCAGTTTCCAGTTACAGTATTACAATAATGTATATTTTTCACAGTTGTCAAAATATTTTTTTAAGACTTTAAATGAATTTTATTGACCATCATTATGAGTGTCGAATGTTTTAGTCTCATATTTTTTATATGGATATCAGTTAGATATGATTTCTGATTGTCTTCATCAGATTATTATGTATGTAGACCAATTCAGAAATTTGATTTTTTTTTTTTTTATATTTCTAAGACTGACAGGGATACTGATTAATTAGTAATGAATAATGACATTGGCATTTCAAGAGAAATAAGTTATTTTATGTATAGCTTCCCTTTGTTGTTTAATACCTATTAATCAGTAAGCACTCCCTTATGTATTTAACATATAAAGCATAATTTAAAAAATATAAAATGGAAAAATACTGGTATCGATATCGACCTAAGCTTGAGTATTGGTATCAAAAAATAATTTGTTTTTAACTTGCCCCTAGTTCCCACATAATAAAAACTTTATTTATTTACAGGTAATTGGCAGCCCATGCTTAGCCAGGAATAAGAAGGTGATAATAATAGGAGATTCTCGTATCAAGTCCCTGGCAGAAGTTGGGATGGATAGAACTACACGTTTCAGCATTGACATCAAGTGTGTCCCAGACTTGACCCTTGATAAGCTGAAGGAGTCTGTTGAGCTCTATGTTGATAAAAAGTATTTCTCGGAAGGAATCTTACTCATTTGTAGTGTTGGAATATATGACATCATTGAAATAATTGACAATCCGTCCTGCCAAGATAACAACTGCCGTATACCAATGAAACAAATTTGTTCGACAAAACCAAATTCAGATCCTGACCTTGTTAATAAGATGATGGTGGTGAGGAGCGGTTTGCAAAATTTATTGGGTAACAGTTCTGAAGTCTATTTTACAACTATTCTTCCAGTAAACATTTCAAAGTTTAATTTATTTCATTGCAAACAGCATACAGATTCTACTCATGATGTAGTTACTCCTAAACTGTCAAATGATTTTACAAGTCAAGTTGATCATATGTTACATCAGTTAAACTCCAAAGTCACAGAATTAAGCGTAAGAAGAGATGGAAAAATTATTCCATGGAATCTCTTACCTTTTACTTCAGGGAACAATTCACGTGTAGATGCATATCTGTTAGATGGTTTAAATCCTTCAAAAAATATTGCACAAACTAATGTAATCCCCATGCTCAAATGTACCATTAAACAGTACTATATGAAGAGGTACCATGGAGTTGTACTTATTGGTGACTCCAGAATACAAGCATTGGAGAAAGCTTGGCCCACTGACACTGATGACACAATGTTAACTGTACTGACACAGTCCAAGTTGTCTTTCCATACTTTCACTCAAGAAAACCCTATTGTCAAAGAAATTACTGGCAAGAAAAATTCACTAATAGTAATTAGTTTAGGGATGTATGATTTATTAAACTTTGTTGCAGAGGATGGCTGTGATTCTCATGAGATTAAATTAGAATTACCCTCTTTATGTATACAGAATTTGGACAGCACTGATGAAGCATGGATTGCTTTTGCAAACTCCTTAAAGAGAGTTGACCGACTTGTGCGTAGAGTGACTATTGATTGTGATGTTATAATAACAACCATTTATCCATTTGATTTTCTGAGCTTCAAAAATCACCTGATTAAGATGCATGCTGAGAAAACTGGGCATGTTATACAAAGTCAAAAATCATCTGAGGAACTTGAAGAAAAACTAAACAAGATTGGCGCCTTCATAATAAGAATAAATGAGATTGCATTCAAAATTGCTCGAGAAAAACATTTGCCTTTGTGGGATTTAGATAGCTTGATGTTTAATGATTTTAAATTTTTAAGGATGAGTCCCCTTGTGTGAGGTTTTTTCCCCCAATTTCCACAGGGGCAAAAAAGAAGCTGAATCGGGTTTAAACTTTGCTAAATTCTCTCTATATTTGTTGCCAAAGTTTTAAATTTCCTTTGGAAAAAGAGGAAGTGTGGAAATATGAAAAATTAAATTATTTCCTAGGAATAAATAGCACTTTTTAGATAAGAAAATTTCTCTGGTCTTCCCCTCATTATAATAAAAATGATGGAAACAAAAGTTTTAGGGGGAAAAAAGAACCTCACTATTTTGAAAATCCCTCATAAAATTTGAGATTGACCCATGTGGAGTAACATAGTAAGAAATAAAAATGATGGGGTTGAAAACTTGGCAAAAAGATCAGGCAAAAAGTTTTAAGAACATTATGAATCAAAAAGAAGGACGAGACAACAAAAAATTAGGCCAGTAAAAAAAGGCTTTTCTTATTTTTTGGAAGAATAAAAAAAGGAAAATGGGGAAATAAATCTGCTTCAGCCTTGATGTTTTTGAAACCAAGTGAGACTAGTGAGTACACCCCTAGGAGAATGCTTTCCAACCCTTAGCAATTTGGGGGAAAAAAACCCAAAAATTTAAATTGTAAAACGTGGCTGAAAAAGGGGACTGTTAAAAAAGAAATAAGTTACAAAGACACATAGTCCAAAAGGGGTTAGTTTCATCAGGGGAACCCTTTCCCCAAAGGGGGGGATTTTTCCAGAAGGTCATCTTACCCACGGGGGCCTTTTCCACAAATTTGCCTTACCCCCAAACTGAGACTTCCCACGTTTTACCCTTACCCAAAATGGAACCCTTTTCCACAATGGAAACCCTTATCCCGAAAGGACTTCAGTTTTAAAAGAGAGAATTTGTTGATCATCAAAATAATAAGAAAATCTTAAGGGAACAACCTCAGTTATGAATATGAAGTGATGGGGGAAAAATAAGTAACAGAGAACTGTATCCTTTCCAATATGGCACTATAATTTGGCCTTAACGATCCTGTTCACCAGTGTAAATAAATGATGGGGAAAAAATGACAAAAGAGGCTTCTTCAAGACAGGTACAGTTCCCGGAAAGGGAAATGGTCCCGGAAAAAGGGAAAATGAGTTTTGGGGGTATGACGTCAAGTTAACATCCAGTAGAGAAAAAGACATAGTCATTTTTCCCAAAAAAAAATATTTTCAGATGAGATGAACAAAAAAAAAGATGCAGTCCCGGGTTTGGGGGCCTAGTACCCATCATGAATGGTTCAGCAAGGGAACACTTGAGGGAAAAAGAACACAGCCAGTAAAAAAGAGAATTTTCTCCATTCATCATCACCAGGAAAAGGGAGTATTTACTTGTAATATTCAAATTTAGTTCTTATAAAAACATTTTAGAAGGTGTGACGTGTTGGAGATTTAAATAAAATTTTTTTTACAACAGCCATATTATGCTGGTATTCAAAGGTTTTTAAGAGGCAACTAGTTGTTTCAGTGAACAAGCTAAAATTCTAGATACAAGAATAATAAAAGACAAAATGATGAAAGGTAGGTAAATTACATACTGTAATTTATGCATTTCTTGTAGACAAGGTTGCAACAAAAATAAAGGGTGCATAAATGGACCTTGACTTTGTGACTCTTAACATTCGCACTTTACAACTAGTTAGTTACTTCCAGACAGTAACTTGCTCTTTCAGTGGCAAAGGTACAAAGAAAAGTATGCAGCTGTAAAAGTTCTCCAACCCTTCTATTTTCCAGTATCTCCTTCATGTGTTTGCTTTATCATTTTGCATAGGTTTGGCAATAAGCTGTGCATCATGGAAGACAAAGTCTGTTATGTACCTTTAAAATAAAATGCGACATTATAAAACATTGTGAGACTGTAACGAGTACTGCCCAGGTGTACGAGTACTGCCCAGGTGTACGAGTACTGCCCAGGTGTACGAGTACTGCCCAGGTGTACGAGTTCTGCCCAGGTGTACAAGTACTGTCCAGGTCTAGGAGTACTGCCCAGGTGTATGAGTATGGCCCAGGTGTATGAGTTCTGCCCAGGTGTACGAGTACCGCCCAGGTATGCGAGTTCTGCCCAGGTGTACGAGTACTGCCCAGGTGTACAAGTTCTGCCTAGGTGTACGAGTACTGCCCAGGTGTACGAATACTGCCCAGGTCTACAAGTACTGCCCAGGTGTACAGCATAAACAAGTCAATAATAACAACTGCACAGATGCATTTGATGGCCACCTCTAAAATGTCTATTGGTTTAATAAATGAAAAAATAATAATAATAATATTTTATTATAATAATATAATATTTTTATTATAGTAATATAATAATATTTTTATGGTATAGGAGGTAGGTTACTGAAAGCACTGAAGTTTTTACGAGGATAGTGAGGCTCAAGTTAGTGTGTAGGAAAGAGGGAGATTATCTTCCAGTAAAAGTAGGCCTTAGACAAGGATGTGTGATGTCACCGTGGTTGTTCAATATATTTATAGATGGGGTTGTAAGAGAAGTAAATGCAAGGGTCTTGGCAAGAGGTGTGGAGTTAAAAGATAAAGAATCACACATAAAGTGGGAGTTGTCACAGTTGCTCTTTGCTGATGACACTGTGCTCTTGGGTGATTCTAAAGAGAAGTTGCAGAGGTTGGTGGATGAATTTGATAGTGTGTGTAAAAGAAGAAAATTGAAAGTGATACAGGAAAGAGAAAGGTTATGGGATAACAAAAAGATTAGGTGATGAAAGATTGGGTATCAGATTGGAGGGAGAAGTATGGAGGAGGTGAATGTAATTCATTATTTGGGAGTGGACATTCAGCGGAGGGTCTATGAAAGATGAGGTGAATCATAGAATTGATGAGGGGAAAAAGGGTGAGCGGTGCACTTAGGAGTCTGTGGAGACAAAAAAACTCTGTCCTTGGAAGCAAAGAGGGGAATGTATAGAGTATAGTTTTACCAACGCTCCTGTATGGGTGTGAAGCATGGGTGATGAATGTTGCAGCGAGGAGAAGGCTGGAGGCAGTGGAGATGTCATGTCTGAGGGCAATGTGTGGTGTGAATATAATGCAGAGAATTCATAGTTTGGAAGTTTTGGAGGAGGTGCGGGATTGCCAAAAACTGTTGTCCAGAGGGCTGAGGAAGGGTTGTTGAGGTGGTTTGGACATGTAGAGAGAATGGAGCAAAAACAGAATGACTTCAAGAGTGTATCAGTCTGTAGTGGAAGGAAGGCGGGGTAGGGGTCAGCTAGGAAAGGTTTGGGGGGAGGGGGTAAAGGAGGTTTTGTGTGCGAGGGGCTTGGACTTCCAGCGGGCATGCGTGAGCGGTTTCATAGGAGGGGAATGGAGACAAATGGTTTTTAATACTTGACATGCGTTGGAGTGTGAGCAAAGAAAAATTTATGAAGGGGTTCAGGGAAGCCGGCAGGCCGGACTTGAGTCCTGGAGATGGAAGTACAGTGCCTGCACTCTGAAAGGGGGGTTGTTAATGTTGCGTTTAAAAAAAATGAAATGGTAAAGACCTTCTGGCAAGACAGTGATGAGTGAATGATGTGAAAGTTTTTTTTTTCGGCCCACCCTGCCTTGGTGGAATCTGCCCGTGTGTTAATAAAAAATATAATAAAATTTTTTATTTCGCAGATACAATGTTATACAGAGACGGTGACATTTAGGGCTGCATGCAAAAGACCATTTTTATGCAGAGATTTCGGGCAAGCTTAAACCTACAGTAAAAGTCAAATTAATTGGGACAGTGATGAAAAAAAGCAATTTATTTTGGAAAATTAAATGTTTTATTTGAAAAATACATGGCACTAAATGACATATTGCTTTCAAAGAGAAAAATGACCATTTACTTTATTTCCACTGCTACACACTTTGGCATAGAAAGACCATTATTGGGAACACATTTTGGCAAGTTTATCATGGTCCAGGTTTTAATAATGGCCAAAACAAAATTTAAATTCTCCAGAATTGAAAAAGTTCTGTTTTGCAATCCTACATTTGGTCACTGCCCATAGATTCTCAATTGGGTTGAGGTCAGGAGAGTTTCCAGGCCAAATTAGAAGAATGTTGGCATTTTTCTGGAAGTGTGGCATGGAGCAAGATCCTGCTTGAACATGTTTTTCTCCAACAGGGGACATGATTACTGAACAGAGAAAGGTTTGTTTTGGTGGCCAGAATGCCCATAGTGTTTATTTTGAATTTTTTTTTTTTTTTTTTTTTTTTTTTCAACAAGTCGGCCGTCTCCCCCGGGGCAGGGTGACCCAAAAAAGAAAAAATTCCCCAAAAAGAAAAACTTTCATCACTTTCAAACTTTTCCCCCAACTCGCACATTATAATGTTTTTGCAGGGTGCTCAGAATACAACAGTCTAAAAGCATACACATAAAAGACCAAACATACCCCTCCAAACTGCCATACCCAAAAACCCCCCCTTTAAAGTGCGGGAATTGTATTTCCCCATTTCCGGATCAAGTATTTTAAGAAAATAACCGGTTTCCCTGAATCCCTTCACAAAATATCCCCTGCCACACCCAAAGTCGTGGGGGGCCCCAAGTCCATTGCCCATTCACTCCTATCTAAACGCTCACGCACGCTTGCTGGAAATCCAAGCCCCTTAACCCACAAAACCTCTTTACCCTCCTCTCTTCCAACCCTTTCGAGGACGACCCCTACCCCGCCTTCTTCCCTATAGATTTATAGCTTTCCATGTCATTCTACTGTGATCCTTCTCTCTAAATGACCAAACCACCTCAACAACCCTCTTCTGCCCTCTGACTAATACTTTTATTAACTCCACACTTCTCCTAATTTCCACACTCCGAATTTTTTGCATAATATTTACACCAACAACATTGCCCTTAGACAGGACATCTTCCGCTGCCTCCAACCGTCTCCTTGCTGCTGCATTTTACCACCCAAGCTTCACACCCATATAAGAGTGTTGGTACTACATAACTTCATACATTCCCTTCTTTGCCTCCATAGATAACGTTTTTTGACTCCACATATACCTCAACGCACCACATCACCTTTTTCC